ATTCCAGAGCGAGGCACTCTGAATCAGAACATCGCTTTTGCCAGTATACTTTCTATTGCAAGTGGTATTTGGCTTAGAGAATTTGACAGATGGCAAGAGAACTAACTCTGGTGTTTTCCTACTTTCTTGTTTTCAAAGGTTACGTACTTTTAAGGGTACCTGTTTTTGTTATTTAATTGAAGTCAAGTGAAATTTATGACCCTCGCAGTGTGCTTTCAACTTAAGCAGTTGAAAAAGCAACCTGAAAAAAAATTCAGGCTTGCATGTATAAGTATGTACATTAATCATAACTGTATAGAGTGATTTTTACGGTGGCCCACAAAGGTCAAATGTGCAAATTAAAAATGTTGCTGCAAACTAAAAATTTTACCCGCAAGAGGTTGCATTGTCATCCAACATTGGAAACTTGTGCATATTCTCTTCCAATAATACCACAATGATATTCCAATACTAACCAGCCTATTATAAAAGTTTGGTATATTGTTGTGCTATCATTGGTTACTGAACAGTCAGCTTCCAATGATTATGCATTGTCATCCAACATTGGAAACTTGTGCATATTCTCTTCCGATAATACCACAATGATATTCCAATACTAACCAGCCTATTATAAAAGCTTGGTATATCCTTGTGCTATCATTGGTTACTGAAGTGTCAGCTTCCAATGATTATACATTGTCATCCAACATTGGATACGTGTGAACATTTTGTTCCAATAATACCACAATGATATCCCAACTATAACCAGCCCAGTGTTAATGCTTGGTATATCATTGTGCCATTATTGGTAACCAACAAAGTGACTTCCAATGATTTTACATCATTGTCCAACATTGGAATACCAAGTGTGTTGTGCGCCAATAAACCTCCAATGATACTCCAGCTGCCAGATCATGAATAAAAAGCATTTTTCCTGTGTTGGAGAATAATTGGACTTTTATTGGTACACTATAAATTTCCCAATGATTATCCAATGTTGGATATTCAAACATCGAATTTTCCAAAGATTTACCATATTGGAAGATGCATTTTTTTCCTGTGTATGGGTTTTCCTTCATGGGAAGTAGCAATTCCTCAATAACACTATTAAAATAACCTGAATGTTAAAACAATAAAAGATGATGTTATTATTTGAATTACCATCTATGGTTAAGCTATTTCCCAATAATGGTTGATAAATTACCATTTATAGTAATTTGATTCCTACCATGTATGGAATTAAAATGGCAATAAACATTGATGGGTTTTTCTTCATGGGAAGAGGCAATATCCCAATAATAGAACATTAAATAACCTGAATGTTAAAAGACTAACAAACATTATTGTTAATTTGAATTACCATCAATGTTTGAAAAGAATTTAACATCAATGATACATTACATAAAACCATCAGTGGTAAGTTGGCACTAACCATCAGTGGAATTTGTAATTAACATTTATGTGAATTTTCAAAGAAAAACGTTAATGGTAAGTGTCCAACTTTAACATTTATGTTTTTTTTCCTTGGAATTGATGAAATCCCATTCGATTTTACATCAATGATTTTCTGCAATTTTTTCCTGTGGGAGGTAGTTTTCATCCGTGACACCGCAGCTTCTAAGTGTTATGGCTGCAATGGATCAGTTCGTAGAAAGCCATCAGAGGATCCACCACCAGCTCCTTATGACATATTCCTACGGAGGAGGGAATATAGAGTGTACAGAAAGAAAGGTTCAACAAAAATGTGCATTGCCAAAACGAAAGAATTTGTTTATTACCACCCACTTAAGGCTTGTTTGCCAAAGGAAAGTAGCCATGGTGACCTTCTGATGTCAGAGAACACTACAAGCCGACTTCAAGCTAGCCATCGGGAGGTATTTTGGAGGGAGTTTGGATTCACCTTGTGAACTGTGTGGAAGTCGCATACCTGACGATGTGTACTTATTGTTTTATGAAGAATTATTCAATCGCTATGAATAATTTGGCTTTGTTTCGTTTGGATTAAACCCTTCTTTACATGAAGAATTATTCACTTGTTTTGAAATGAATAGTTCGATTGTTTGTGGCATTGTTGTTGTTCAGTAGGAAAGGACACTATGTTCAATGAGAATTCTACATTCTGTTATTTGATAAAACTGTACATGGTTTTTGTTGAGATATAAGTAATCTATTTAAGTGTGATTTTGCAAGTTGTTTTCATACAAAAAATCCTTAGCGATAAGACCTTTCCTCTAATGAAGACTTATTCAATTGTTTTAAAGTGAAAAACTCGATTGTATCTTGCATTGTCGTTTAATAGGGAAGGACACTGTTCATTGAAGAATTCTACATTCCCTTATTTGATAAAACTGTAAGCTGGTTTTCATAGATATATAGGTACAAGTGCGCAAGTTGTTTTCGGACAAAAATAAACTGTACAATGTTGTGGTTCTGTTGACTTGAGATTTGACTTTACATTCGACAGGCACGTGACGTTGGTTGGAATAAGCTCAAGCATATATTAAACCTTCCAGAGTCGGCA